CCTAAGCAGTGCCACATGCAGTGTCCTGATGTGATGCATCTGTGATTTACAGATTATTCTGACTATGGAGATTACTGGAGAGCAAATTATGAAGCAAAATCTCCAGAAGAATACAAATACAACCGTGACCAGCTGATCGAAGATGTGGAGAAGACATTTGAGCAGGTAGAGGCAGAAAAAACTCTCACCTGAGCCAAAGGATTGTGTTTGTAATGATGGACCCACATGTTGGTGTTGTGAAGGAAGATGAGACCTGCTCTAAACTGGCTGATCACAGCCTACATTGGTTTAACAGCTGTTGGGAGACACACATGACATTTTTACCTCTGCAGCCATTCTAGGACCAGCTTGGTCCCTTTGGGCTGCATTGTCCCCAGAGGCTGTTGAAAAGGGAGCTCTGCAGATCCATGTCTCTTCCTCCTGGCAGGGCCCATGGAGGGAAGAATGTTTCTCATGGGGTAGTTGGCATCCTTGATACTCTGCCTCTAAAGTTAGCAATGCTTCCTCCTGCATACCTGAGCATGACTTTTGTGGCTAGCATCTGGACTCAGCACTCGAACCCCAAAGGCAGGGGGCAAAGCTTAGCTCTAGGTTTAAGGTGAATTTTGTCAGAGGCACATTTGAGGTTCTCTGTTTAGGAGTGATGAGTGGCATCGAGCAAAGTGAAAACCTTTTGTTTCCTTCTCCTCCTCTGCCTCCAGATAAAACCTCTGTACGAGCAGCTGCATGCCTATGTGAGACACCGGCTGGGCCAGGTGTATGGCCCTGAGCACATCAGCTCCACAGGATATCTCCCTGCTCACTTGCTAGGTATGTCAATGCGTCCGTGTCACGCAAGCCTGACTTTGTACACAGCACAGTCACCTTCAAGGCACGTGGGAAAACAATAATCTGACTGTTTAATCAGGATATTAGCAAAAAGATTACAGATAAGAGAAGGAAAGAGGTGAAATGGAGAAAGTTCTGGCAGGAATGACACAAGAGCTCAGCAGCAGGGGCAGGAAGGGAAGACAGATGTCCTTGTCCTTGCCAGAGCTGGCAACACACAACTCAAAACTCTAGCACTGGGCTGGGACATTTCCCTCCCCTGTGCAGCACTTGTCGTCCTTAGAAATTAGAGTTTTGGAGAGACTTGTTTTTTCTTTCAAGTCTTACTCTAAGCTCCCACATTTGGTGACTTGGCTTTCAAAGAATGCAGCATCGAGCTGCTGTAACTGTAGTGTATGTGAACATGACATGGCAATCACATGGACTAACAACATGGATGGTCAGTTGTGAGCACACCTTTAGGAAGGTCGTCAGACCTGAAACTATATTGTACAAAAATAACTGATAGTGGATAGTAAAAGTATCTTTGATCTGAGTTTGACCTATACATGACTTTCCAGAGCTGTTCCCCTTCACATCTGTATCAGACCTGTTTAGATGTATACGAGTTCCTATTATGTCACTGCACAATTTATAGAGATGTCTGGCACTTTTGAACAATACATAATAAATCATTTAAAGTATGTTTATGTTTGTCTCTTTTTATGAAGGTGATATGTGGGGCAGATTTTGGACAAATCTGTATCCCTTGACTGTTCCCTATCCTGCCAAACCAAACATTGATGTAACATCTGCAATGATTGAAAAGGTAAGACATGCCTTTATGCAATATGCATTGTGTAACAAACCTAGACAGAATAAAATTTATGCAGCATATGTCAGCTGCTCTCTAGAAAAACCATGGCTGCCCTCAGGCTCACACGGTGCCAACAAAGTGTTGCTTTCCACATCCTTTTTTTTTGTTCTTCACCTTAATGTGTTTATGCATTTTTCACTGTACCTTTCCCCTTAGCTGTTCTTTTTTTCCTCCACTCTCTTTGACTCAGTCTTGCTCCAAGTCTATTTTCCTCAGAGACACCTATCCATTAAGGGATGTATTTTGTACATGTAAATATTTCAGAACTCCTGGAGTTGGATGATATCAAATATGACCTTTGCCAGTCATAACCATAATCAAATAGTTGTATATCACATTTTTAAGTTATTTTTGTCTTGTTTATTTGGATCCAGCTAAGAAACTGCAATGCTGCCTGTTATCTTTTCATAACTGCATACCACCGTAAGGTCTGTGTTTGAGATCTCTAGTGCTAACAGCTGGGACAGCACCTTTATGAGACCGAGAAAATGGGTGAAGATAACAATCTGTAGGCTTGCCTAAGCTTCACCCCTTTTATAAAATAAAAGGTGGAATTTGGTTCCTGAAATGTGATCATTCTTCTGAAATCTACCCTCCTCTCATAGGGAACACTCCATGCAAGTGTTATGCTGGCAAGAGAATGAGTAGCTAAATTTGATTCACTAGCAGTTTGCACAAGTCTGCATTAATCTCACCTCTGTTTTGCACTACTGACCCCCTTGCAGTCATAAATCTGTCTGTTGAAGTACCACTGCAAGGAGGGAAGCATTACAGAGCCTCAGGGCAAAGGCTGGACTCATCCTTGTTGGTGGATGTGCCCAATTTAGGATTCTCAACCAGCTGAGCTGTTTGCCACATAGATCTCTGTGACAGCTCAGTCCAGCAAATGCAGATCTCCTGCTATGTAGGATAATAAAAGTGCTGAAAGGCAAAAATATCCTGGACATTACCATGCAGTTACAATCTGATAAGCAACTGCCCCAGATACATTTGCCAGGCTTTATGGTTCTGGCTGAAATCTCTCATGCTTCTCTGCTGGGAGTGCAACTGCACTCCCTCAGATGAGTTGTCCTCAGGTTGACCAAAGTGGCTGAAGGGTGATATCCCAGATCTAACATGGTATGGACAGAAATGCCTTTTTTATCTTGCCTTACCTTTTCTTGACATCTTCTTTGATCTGGCTCAGGTGTTGTTATCTGCTAAACCGCTGAGTGCAGAAACCTATTTTATTTGCAGCAAAAACACTTAATTCCACTTCCCAACTGAATTTACAGAAGTGTCAAAGGCAGACACTACTGTGGTGCTCTCCATAAGCCAGGTGCTGATCTGAAGTTCCTGGAGGATAAATATGAAGTCAGCTGCCTTGCATTAAGTAGGCCATCAGGAACAGGCTCCATGCAGAAGCAGTGGTTAATGGTGGCATTGTCTCTTTCAGAAATGGAATGCAATTAAAATATTCAAAGCTGCTGAGGCCTTCTTCGCCTCCATCGGCCTTAATAACATGACTCAGGGCTTCTGGGAAAACTCCATGCTCACAGAGCCAAACGATGGCAGGAAGGTTGTCTGCCATCCTACGGCATGGGACATGGGGAAATATGACTACAGGTACTGAAACTGCTATGACCCCTTTCTATACCACCTTCTAGCAACTACATTTTCACGAGAGGTGCACCATTCTGGTTTGAATTACAACTTTTCCTTTATGGTTTTTTTTTCTGGCTGATAAGAGGGGAAAGGAAAACAAGGGAGCAGGGATTCTGTGGGAGTGAAAACTTTTCTGCGTAACTTTTTATGTGAAGATCTAAGGACTACTCTCAAATTTCAGCAGAGAAGTGGCTATTATTTATATGAATTAGAGAAATAATTACTATGTCCTAGGGCTTAAGGAATAAGTAGAAATGTGGGTGCTTGTGCATACCAGTGAGATTTGTGGACAATGGCACATTCTGCAGCAATGGCACCAGGTCCCTGGGTAGCAAATGAAAATCTCCTTAGAGCCCACTGGCTATCTTTAGCAGAAATGTCTAGTTTCATCAATCTCTTCCATATTTGGGAAAGGACAGCAAGTTCCCACACAATGAAGTGTCCTGGCAGGAATTCTGTCTCCTCTTGCAGTCCCCACCATTATGCAGGG